GTGGGTCTCTGAAAGACTCTACCCATCAGGGTATCAAAGCAGAGGCTGAGACTCATAGCCAAACTTTGGGCAGAATACAGGAAATCTTATGGAAGAAGGGAGAGATAGAAAGTCCTGGAGAGGACAGGAACTCCACAAGGAGACCAACAGAGTCAATCTGGGGGCGGGGGGGGGGCCTCCAGAGACTGATACTCCAACCAAGGACCATGGAGAGGAATTAGACCCTCTGCTCAGATGAAGCCCATAGGCTGCTTAGTCTCTAAGTGGGTTCCCTAATAAGGGGAACAGGAGCTGTCTCTGACATGAGCTCAGTGACTGCTCTTTGATCACATCTCTGAGGGGTGCAGCCTTGCCAGGCCACAAAGGAAGATGATGCAGCCAGCCTTGATGAGACCTGATAAGCTAGGGTCAAATAGAAGGGGAGGAGGTCCTCTCCTATCAGGGGACTAGGGAAGGGCATATGGAGAGAGAAGGGAGGGTGGGTGGGACAGGGAAGAGACAAGGGGGGATACAAAGTGAATAACTTGTAACAAATAATAAAATAATAAATTAATAATTTTTTAAAAGAAAGAAAGGGGCTGAGGGAGCCCATAACAGTCTGACAAGCATGCACATGCCCCTCCCTGTTAGAGAAAAGCTCTCTTCCCAAAGGCCCTAAACAAAAGCTTGCTTTCATTTCTTCTCCCTTCTTCCTTCTCATCTTTTTTTTTCTTTCACTTTTCCAACTAATATTTCATTTTACCAAGTCCCAAGTTCTAGCTTAGGACCCTTAAAATGAACTACTAAACATGCACCATAGTCCTTACTGGAACTGCTATTTTGGGGTTTGGTTGTATAATCTTCCGGTAGCCAACAGCACACAGACAACATTCTCCAGATGAGCTCAGGTAACAAGAATGTTCCATGTGAGACTTTCATCACTGTAGCCAAGAATAACTTTCCTAAATTATTTGTTAGAGATTTTTTGGAGAATAATTTTGATTAGGAAAAAAGTTAATTCTTTCTGTTTTGTTTTGTTTTATTTTGTATTGACACAGTGTCTTATTCTGTAGACGGTTTCAATTTCTGTGTAGCTTAGGTTGGTCTTGAACTCATGATCCTCCTGCCTCACAGTTCCCAAGTGCTGGAACTACAGTTTATGCCATCACACCTACCTAAAAGTTCTTACATGGATTCCTTTTCTACTAGAGAAGCTGTCTTAGTTAGGGTTTCAACTGCTATGACAAAACATCATGACCAAAAGCAAGTTGGGGAGGAAAGGCTTTATTTGGCTTAGATTTTCATATTGCTGTTCATCACCGAAGGAAGTCAGGACTGGAACTCAAGCAGGGCAGGAATCTGGAGGCAGGAGCTGATGCAGAGGCAATGAAGGAGTGCAGCTTACTGGCTTGCTCCTCATGGCTTGCTCAGACTGCTTTCTTATAGAACTCAAGACCACCAGCCTAGGGCTGGCACCACCCACAATGGGCTGACCCTCCCCGATCAATCACTAATTACACAAATGCCTTACAGACTGATCTTATGGAGATATTTTCTCAATTAAGCTTCCCTCCTTCCAGATAACTCGAATTTGTGTGTCAAGTTGACAAAAGGCTAACCAACACAGAAGCCTAGTTTCCTTGTTTTTCTGATTTAGATGAATCAGAGGGATTGCCACCCTAGATCCACAGAGCTAAGAATAACTAACACCCAGAGAAAACTGAAGGGGCCCCTGTGCTACTGTGCTGCTCACTTTGGAGATGACTTGGACCAACAGCCAGTATCTCCTAGTATATCCCAATGTACTGAGCACAGATCAGATGAGCTCCAATCTTTTAGTGCATGACAGAAGATAACCTCCAGTTCTTTCACAAACGTCCATTCCCAACCAGTTATCTGATTTATTAAAATAACCTGCTAATCACGTTCCTGTGAAACATAACTATGTTACAGTATTTAAATAGAAAATATGTAGATCATATAAACAGAACCAGAGGAATAAATTAAAAGGTCTACTGATCTATGAACATGTTTTTAGAAGGGAGTCCAAATCAGCTCTTAAAATTAATTTCATTTTCAGATGTCAACCCTAACAAACAAGCTTAAATGCAAGAGCTTTTATTTCCCATATTATATGACTGTGCAAAGTTATCAGCCAGTGTTCTGTCTTAATACTCCGGAAGCTTGGTTTTTCTTACGTATATTTTAAATTTAAAATTTATATGCATTTAAAGACTCTGGGATGAATTCCAGTAAAGCCCAAGGGAAGTCATTCCCAAAGCAATCTCAGAATCATCATTATTGGAATACAATGATTCACAAATCAAAAGGCTGGGGGAGGTACCAGTGGGAACTCGATAAGCAGAGCCCTATATGCTAATACATTTCTATTACAGTGTTTACATTAAAATGACAAGTATTTTTATAGAATCCCTCTCCTAACTGGCTTAGTAAAAAAGCTGTTTCATTTTAAAACTTCAGCTTTCAAGTCGTGGGGAGACAGTTGAGTTGGCGAAGTGTCTGCCATGTAAGGGTAAGGACCTGTATGATGCCCGGTAGCCACATAAAGAGCCAGGTGTGGCCGCATGTGAAAAAGGCAGATGTAATCGCATGTGTTATAATCCCAGATGCTGTGGAGGATGAGACAGGGCCTCTCTGGCCAGGCAGCCTAGGTGAATGGGGGACACCATGATAATGAGAGACCTCATAGGCGGTGCCTCAGACCTCAGGTCTGACATCTGGGGTTGACCTCTGGGCTCCACGCATGTGCACCTACACTTACATGTTCTCCCACACGTGAATATTCACACAACACTGCTGCTGCAGAATCTTGCTTATCCCACAAATACATACGGAAAGGGGCTGCTTTGTTTTGTTTTGCTTTGCTTTAAAAATAAATGTTTAATGGAATGTTATATTCCCTGTGTTGATGTTGGAAGACAGCTGGATTCCAATCTCAGCCTTATGATTCACTAACCATAAAATAATAACAGTAATAATACAGTGGAAACAACTTTTGTTTGGATTATGGTTCTGAAAGCTTCTTTCTTCATGTATATTACTCATCTCTATCATATTCTTTCTGGAACTTGGTTTTCTTATTGGGGAAAAGAATGGCAATAATCAACGCCTGTTCTGCCTTCTCAGAGCGATGCTCTGAGACTGAAGGACCAAAGCCCGATTCTGCCTGCGTTCAGAATCACAGAGCAAGTGCTGTGTGGTTGGGGTCAAGGCTGTTCGTGTGAAGCGTCCATTTCACCATGTTTGTACTTATCAGAGCTCAGAAGAGAAAAGAAGACGAAACCAGCTTAGTAGGTCTGTTGTGTGAACCGAATTCCACCAACGCCTCCTACGCATCTTGTGCCCTCAAGTACTAACTAGGTCACAGAATAGCAATGCTAGCCTGATAACCACAGGGCTGAGATGAAAGGGCTCTGGCTAAAGATGTGTTATTCTAAGAATGATGAGCTAGTCTTGGATGGTTCCTGGCTGTCTTCTGTATGTCAGGGCTGTGTAGGACTAGCCAGCACATGCATCACATACCAAGGAAAACACAGAAAGCTTTTCTTTTCTCCTGGGAAAATATTGCTCCAGAAAATAATCTCTGATGCTGGTAAACACTAGTCCCTTCCACATGATTAAATTTGGTCCTGCTGTGGGTTGTCCAGTCTATTCGATTTATCCTCACAACGCACTTGCAAGGTATTTGTCTTGTAGGAACAAGTCAAGGAAACACAAGCAATGAACAAAACTGTCAGGCTGAATGAAGAATAGCCTGCAAAAACTTCCATAGCAACTAGGAACTAACAAAATTTGAAAAAAACCAAACAAACAAAAAAAAAAAAAACAAAAAACAAAACCCACAAAACCTCCACTTCCTTATTTCTTCAGACACAGAGACCTATAGACCTAACTGTGGTTTTTCTTTTTTTTTTTTTTTGAGGGGGGGCAACTTTTGGGTGGTTTAGAACCCCTCTCCCCTCTAAATTTGATAGGTCTTCTCTGATTGTTCTCTCTCTCTCTTTTTAACCTTATTTTCAGACCTACATTCAGCCTATCTGGGACCTAATTTGTTCCCTAAAATTCAGGTCATTTGAAACTTCACTCATTTGAAACCTGACTCATTCAGACCTGCAGGAGGAAGCAGAGAGGAAGACTTCAAAGCCCAGTTCCAGGGCTGGAAACCTGGCCTGCTCTTTTCAGGAAGAAGCTTGAAGATCTCAGGATCCAAGCCTGTGTTGCATTTTGTTGTTGTTGTTGGTTTTATTTTTTGTTTTTTTCACAGCTTCCCAACTACACGTTGGCTGCGTAAAGGACGGCATCTCTGCAGCTGCCTTCAGCCTCCAAGACGACCTACCGCCGCCAATACCTGCCAGAGATGCTTTCCCATTGGAGACTTCTTGCTGCAGATGATTGACACCTGCAGGCCATCCCAGAACTTTCCAACGGTAGCCCTGCTGGCAATCTGAACATGAGTCCTCATGCTTGTGTAACACATACTTCACCAGCCAAGCCACCTGCCCAATACCTTGTAAAATACTGTCACCAGTGTGATACACTCACATACACAACACACACACACTCACACACGCTCACACATAATCTCTTACACTCACACATTCTCACATAAATATATATATATATATATATATATATATATATATATACATATATACACCTTGGTCTTCAGTGTATAATACTTACATATCTGTATGAAAATACAAAGATTTTTCAATCATAATCTCCTCTCTCAGCATCTAGCAACATATGGAGATGGAAACTGTGTAGTCCTAACTGGAAACTGCCAAACTCAGAAAGAATTCAAGTTGTTTTTTTGTTGTTTGTTTTGTTTTTCAGACAGAATCTCATGGAGCTTAGGCTGGCCTAGAACTTGTCCACACCTGGAACTCACAATCCTCTTGCCTCAACCCCTCAAATGGTAGAAGTATTGGATTATAGGTGTATATCCTCTTGCTTGACATGTTCCTAGGACACATTGATATAATCAGATATGCGTTTACCTGGGCGATTATGTCGACAATTTCCGAATAACTATGGCATCTTCTCACACAGGATCGAGCCAAAAAGTCTTCCACCAGCCGCGTCCCAATACCGTAACCCCTGTGGATGAAGTTAAGTATAACTTGCACAGTAGATAACAAACTAGGCTGATGGAACACGTCAAATTGTCTTAGATAATGGGTTTGTGTGTGTTCCACCAACCACAGAAGCAGAGATCAGTGTATCCAGGAAATATTAATTAGTCTCTGCAGGCAGAGGAGTATGACTGAGGTTGAAGCTGGCCCAAACTTGACTGTAAATTTAGAGAAAGACAGTTGCCTGGGGCCCAATATTTCTTGCTGCTAGTTATTTCGAAACAGAAAGATCCTTGCTAACTTTTCTGCTGCAGGTGTGGCCCTGGCTACTCAACCTTCCTTTAGTGTACTCATCATGACAGAGGAGCTGCATTTACAAGAGAAGCTGTGCAAGGAAGAGGGGATGGGAACAGAGAAATTTTCTTTAGTTGCCTGTGAAAGTTTCAATACTTAATTTTTTAAGTTTATTTCCCTTCCTTCCCATTATCCCCCTTCCCACCTGTGTGTGTGTCAGGGTGGGCAAGCAACTTCAGAAAACACGTTTTCACCTGATAGAAACTGGAATGATGGGTCCAGGGGAAGGTACATATTTACCTACTAACTCCCCCCCCCCCACTGCCTCTAACAGCAGCTGAAGTTCAATTCAGAAAACTTTCACTGAAGTGTCACACTATAACAGACTACGTGGTTAAGATGGCTCAGCAGCCTCCTTAAACAAGACAGCCCAAGAAACTTAAATTTCTAAGAAGGACCCTAAGAGATGCTACAGTCTCTGTCTTTTAAGAGCCTCTAATCCAGTTACAGAAATAAGACCTTAAAATAGAAACAAAAAGGAATATTATTTTTATAAACTTCTAGCCTTCTCCCACCCCCAAAGGCCTTTACTTTCAAAGCCATATAGAAATAAACAAATAAAACCATCTGGACAGAGCAGCAGAAAACCCAGGACAAATCAGGGTTGAAGTTTTTCAAGGCAATAGTTGAGCCTTGGAACCTAAAAAGTGGAAAAATCTCTGGTAGCTTGGCAGTTATGGGGAAATAGATTTGAGGTCAGAATCCTTAATAATTCACCAAGCCTACTGAGATGTTCTATTTATTAAGAGCAGGACTTCTGTGCAGAGAGAGGGAGAGATGGCTAACCGTTAAAGGCTAGGCGCATAGCCACAAAGATAAGAGCAGGATGTCTATTCCAAAAGACAGCTAAATGGGGACCTTAAGAGTCCAATATTTGCTAATTATTATTATGTATAGTTATGAGCTCAGCCACAGAGGGAGGGCAAAGATGAAAAGAATGTAATGAGCAGCACGTGTACCATACATACAAAATTATGTATATATTGGCTTCCACCAAAGGATACGTTTCTACAAATACGCATTTATATGTGAGATTTAAGATGTGAAATGCTCTCAGAAGCTAGTCAAGAAATTCAAATATGAAAACTTTTCTTTTTTTAAATTAAGCAAGGCCTCACTACAGTATCTCAAGGTTTCTTCTTTGCATACTCTTACTATACTCACGTCTGTTAAGCTATTCACTGGGTTCACCAAGACATATTTTTAATCAAACAGGGGAGTTTCTTTGTCTTCTACAGCTAATCCATATACAACACAGAATTAATTAATGTAAGTCAAATAAATTGGAGTCGTTTCTGGAAATGCTGCAGCAGCTGTATGTCCTAAGCTTAAGCAATGGTATTAGCTCTCACAGACTCAGACAGTTCAGCTAAGAAAGGAAAGAGGCTGCAGATGCCGTGCAGACATTTGCTTCTTTGAAAAAGCAACAATCAAGAAACGCAACAAAATTATTTGTACTGATCCTAAAAAGAACTCACTCCCCCCCCCCCCCCCCCCCCCGCAAAGAAGAGTGTAAGCACATAAAAATGGAAGAAAATAAGAATTTAAAACTTTTTTTTCAAGTTGTACTTTGTGGTGACTTTCTCTGCTTTCTCCTGCAAAAACACCATGGACTCTTTTTAAAACTGAGGGAGGGGCTTATGGGGGGATACAAAATGAATAAAGTGTAATTAATAAAAAATTAAAAAAAAACTAAAAATCCCTAGGCTCAATTTCTCCTTCACCCTGCCTGAATAAGTCTTACAATCCATACATATTTCCCTGCCATAATCTGCTACAGCCCTTTTCACAGTCCACAATTAAAAGGTTAAAAAACTCTAGAGCTAGAACAGTTTAGGTGGGAAGGTCAGTTGGGGAGATGGGGAGAGAACAAGTGATGGGGGGAGTCAACAAATCCATGGTGTATGAAGAAGCTATAACGAGATCTGATACTTGGTAAGCCAATCAAAAATAAGATGATGTCCTGGCTGAGGAGATGGCCCAGCCAGTGATGTGCCTGCCTTGCAAGCACGAAGGCTCTCAGATCCCTAGCACATATGTGAAAGCTCGGCGTGGTAGCAGGAGTGTGTCTGTGAATCTACAACTAAGGGGATGGGAGGAGCTTGCTGGTAGCCAGTGTTGGCAATCAGTGGGCTCTGTGTTCAGTGAGAGATCCTAAAGAAAAAAAAAAAGTTAAGTTGGAGAACTGGCAAGGTGGCTTTGGTAAGTTTTGCGCACAGGCCTGATGAACTGTGTTCGATTCCCAGAGCCTGTAAAGTGGGAGAACTGAAACAATCGCCCAGAGTTGCCTTTTGACCTCCACATACGTGTTATAGCATGTGTGCATGCGCACACATTTTCACACACACACACACACACACACACACACACACACACACACACACACAAAATAAATAAATAAATAAACAAACAAATAAATAAATAAATAAATAATTTAAAAAACAAATTTAAGGTCTGAATCCTGTGCAGGTAGCTTCTGTTTTCAGAAGCCATAGGTTATTAAACAAAAAGCTTAGTTCCAAGGTTGGGTGGGGTCCTCTGAGCAACAATACTGACCAGCCAAGCAAAGCCAGTACAGGGGTGCAACAGTGTCTGATATGTGGTAACCTCCTGGATTTCATGACCTCCCCATGGGAAGAAATTCACGTTTAAGACTGGGGAAATTGAGGGGGGCTTCAATCGATATATATAATGAACAAATTGTGGAAAAAAATGTAAATAAATAAATAAGTAAGTAAAAAGGGATGAATACAACAGCAACCACAACAGGCTGGGAAGGTCCTAGGCCAGAGTAGGGAAGCTACTGTTGTTGTTTTGCTAGGTGGACATATCAAACTGCTTTATAAATAATCGTCTTTATATCTGTGTAATAGTGCTGCTGCCAGCTTTGGTAAGAGAAACTTTTTTTTTTGACCATATTTTCCTAGCGTCCTCAACTTGGGCTTCTAGATCTTTGCAATTCAATTTGAAATTGAGGATCAGCTTTTAAAATTGTGCTTAACAAAGGTAGATAGATAGGTTTTAGTTTAGATTTTTTTGACTGTATAAAATTACTGGAGAAACATTGCTATCATTTTTGCATTTAAAATTTTATTTTACATTATGAACAGTTTTTTTTTCCAAAATAACATTTTTTTGTTATTATAATTTATTACAATTTATTCAATTTGTATCCTGGCTGTGGCCCCCTCCCTCATCTCCTCCCAAGCTCACCCTCTCTCCCTCTTCTCCCCGTATTTCGTTCCCCCAGTTCACTGATAGGGGAGGTCCTTCTCCCCTTCTATTTGACCCTAGCCTATCAGGTCTCATCAGGAGTGGATGCATTGTCTTCCTCTGTGGACTGGCAAGGCTGCTCCCCCCTCAGGGGAAGGTGATAAAAGAGCCTGTCACTGAATTCATGTCAGAGACAGTCCCTGTTCCCCTTACTAGGGATTCCACTTGCAGACTGAGTCTATGGGTTTTAGGTCCTCTCCATGCTTTGTCCTTGGTTGGGGTATCAGTCTCTACAGGTCTCCCAGGTCTCAGGTTTTTTTTTTTTTTTTTTTTTTTTTTGGCTCTGTTGGTCTCTTTTTGGAGCTCCTGTCCCCTCCAGGTCTTTCTATCTCCCACTTCTTTCATAAAATTCCATGCCCTCTGCCCAAAGTTTGGCTATGAGACTCAGCCTCTGCTTTGATACCTCAATCAATAGAGTCTTTCAGAGGCCCTCTGTGGTAGGCTCCTGGCATGTTTCCTGTCTTTTCCTGCTTCCAATGTGTATCACATTTGTCCTTCTGAATGAGGATTGATCATCTTCCCTAGTGTCTGCCTTGTTGTTTAGCTTCTTTAGGAGTATAGAGTTTAGTATGTTTATCCTATACTGTATGTCCAATATCCACTTATGAGTGACTATATGCCATGTGTGTCTTTCTGCTTCTGGGATACCTCACTCAAGATGATCTTTTCTACTTCCCACCATTTGCCTGCAAATTTCATGATTTCCTTGTTTTTAATTGCTGAGTAGTATTCCATTCTGTAAATATACCACAATTTCTGTATTCATTCCTCAGTTGAGGGGCATCTGGGTCCTTTCCAGCTTCTGGCTACTACAAATAGAGCTGCTACAAACACGGTTGAGCAAATGTTCTTGTTGTGTACTTGAGCATTCTTTGGATGTATGACCAGGAGTGGCATACCTGGATCTGGTGGTAGCACTACTCCTAATTGTCTTAGAAAGCGCCAGATTGATTTCCAAAGTGGTTGTACAGGTTTATATTTCCACCAGCAATCGAGGAGGGTTCTCCTTTCTCCACATCCTCTCCAGCATGTGTTGTCACTTGAGTTTTTATCTTAGCCATTCTGATGGGTGTAAGGTGAAATCTCAGGGTCATTTTGATTTGTATCTCCCTGGTGGCTAAGGACGTTGAACATTTCTTTAAGTGTTTCTCTGCCATTTGATATTCCTCTATTGAGAATTCTCCATTTAGCTCTGTACCCAATTTTTAATAGGATTACTAGGTTTGTTGGTGTTTAACTTCTTGAGTTGTTTATATATTCTGGTTATTAGCCCTCTGTCAGATAAAGGGTTGGGTGACGATCCTTTCCCAATCTGTAGACTGTTGTTTTGTGTGTGTGTAGTTGAAAGTAGTGACTCACTTATACTCAGAACATTGAAAATTAATGACCATTGAATGCCAGGCTAAAACATGGGGCCTCAGTATCACTCCTTTCAAGGTGTAGAGAACACTGTGGATGGAGACGCAGAAAGAATGTAAGAGCTGGAGAGATGGGGAGAGGTAAGGAATGTTGACATCTGGGCTTGAAGAATAGAAGACCCAGAAATAAACTCACACACATACGGACACCTGATCTTTGATGCCAAAACCATACAATGGAAAAAAGATAGCATCTTCAACAAATGGTGCTGGTCCAACTGGATGTCTACGTGTAGAAAAATGCAAATAGATCCATACTTATCACCCTTCACAAAACTAAAGTCCAAGTGGATCAAAGACCTCAACATGAATCCAGACACATTAAATCGGTTAGAAGAAAAAGTGGAGAAGGTACTAATTGGTACAGAAGACAACTTCCTGAGCAGAACACCAACAGCACAGGCTCTAAGAGCAACAATCAATAAATGGGACCTCATGAAAACAGAAAAGCTTCTGTAAAGCTAAGGACACCGTCATCAAAACAAAACGAATGCCTACAGATTGGGAAAGAATCTTCACCAACCCTTTATCTGACAGAGGCCAGTATATATAAAGAACTAAAGAACCTGAAAAGCAACAAATCAAGTAATTCAATTAAAAAAATGGGGAACCGAGCTAAACAGAGAATTCTCACTAGAGGAATATCCAATGGCAGAGAAACACTTAAAGAAATGTTCAACATCATTAGCCATCAGGGAAATGCAAATCAAAACGACCCTGAGATTTCACCTTACACCCATCAGAATGGCCAAGATCAAAAACTCAAGTGACAACACTTGCTGGAGAGGTTGCAGAGAAAGGGGAACCCTCCTCCACTGCTGGTGGGAATGTAAATTTGTACAACCACCCTGGAAATCAATCTGGCACTTTCTCAGACAACTAGGAATAGCACTTCCTCAAGATTCAGCTATACCACTCTTAGGCATATATCCAAAAGATGCTCAAGTACACAATAAGGACATTTGCTCAATCATGTTTGTAGCAGCTTTATTTGTAATAGCCAGAAACTGGAAACAACCCAGATGCCCCTCAAGTGAAGAATGGATGCAGAAATTGTGGTACATCTACACAATGGAGTATTACTCAGCAATGAAAAACAAGGAAATCATGAAATTTGCAGGCAAATGGTGGGAACTGGAAAGGATCATCCTGAGTGAGGTATCCCAGAAGCAGAAAGACACACACAGTACATACTCACTCATATAGACATATAATATAGGATAAACCTACTAAAATCTGTACACCTAAAGAAACTAATTAAGAGGGAGGACTCTGGCTAAAATGATGAATCCCCATCCCAAAAGGCAAAGAGGATGGACATCAGAAGAAGAAGAAAACAGGAAACAAGTTAGGAGCCTCCCACAGAGGGCCTCTGAAAGGCTCTGCCCTGCAGACTATTGAAGCAGATGCTGAGACTTATGGCCAACTGTTGGGCAGAGTGCAAGGAATCTTATGAAAGAAGTGGGAAATAGTAAGATCTGGAGAGGAGAGGAGAGGATCTCCACAAGGAGAGCAACAGAACCAAAAAATCTGAGCACAGGAGTCTTTCCTGAGACTGATACTCCAACAAAGGACCATTCATGGAGATAACCTAGAACCCCTGAACAGATGTAGCCCATGGCAGTTCAGTGTCCAAGTGGGTTCCATAGTAATGGGAATAGGGACTGCCTCTGCCATGAACTGATTAGCCTGCTCTTTGATCACCTCCCCCTGATGGGGAGCAGCCTTACCAGGCCACAGAAGATGACAATGCAGCCACTCCTGATGAGATCTGATAGACTAGGATCAGAAGGAAGGAGAGGAAGACCTCCCCTATCAGCAGACTTGAGGAGGGGCATGCCTAGAGAAGGGGGAGGGAAGGTGGGATTGTGAGGGGAGAAGGGAAGGGTTTATGGGGGGATACAAAGTGAATAAAGTGTAATTAATAAAAATTTAAAAAAATGTATTGTGAACATGTGTGAAAGAGTCATAGTGAAACCAACTATTATGTGTAATGGACATGTGCCCAAAAACATTTAAAAACTTAAAAATAGTGACATTGTTGCAATAATTTGATGATCATTCGATTATTTGGGGAAGACTAGAAGGTTGAATATAACCGAGAGGAATCTTCACTAATAAAATAAAAAGGAAAATGGGCTTTATTTAAAAAGGAAAGATGGGGTTTTTATATTCTAAATAGTCTTTAAACACTGGAGTAATGAAAGTACTATACAAGAAAAAGACACTGTCCTTTCCATCAAATCCCTCTTATATCATTCTTTTTCACAGGCTACTACTGCTAGTTTTCTGTTTGTTTGCTTGGTTATTGCATAGCCCCAATAGGCATTCCATGCTTATGTAAGCAAATATCTTCATGGTAAGGAATTATGAAAATTTTAAATCAAAGCAGATATTCCATCATCTTTCTAAAAGAACCTTTAGCCCATCACATTGTCTGCTCATAGGTGACTAATAATGAAATAATTTCCAACCTGAGAAAAGAGAATTTTGCATTCAATAGAGAGGGGAAATTCTTTCCTATTATTTTAAGCTGAGTTTTAAAAAATAATGTTCCGTTCTTGAACGTGGCTCGTAGAAGCCGTGGAGGAGCTGGTGAAGTAGAGCAAGACATTAGAAACAGGGAAAGAAAGAGAGAAAGAGAGAGAGAGAGAAAGAAAGAAAATAGAAAGAAAAAAAGAAAGAAAAAAGAAAGAAAGGAAGGAAGAAAGAAAAAGAAAAAGAAAGAAAACTCAGTAATATCAAGACACAGTAGATATTCTGTAGCAAGGAGACTTCAACTTACATTTTATCTAGGTATTTGTTCACATCCTCATCTTTTTCATAATCCTTGCATAGCTGAGCAACCAGAGCTCCATAGGTGAGTACAAAAAGGTCTTTGTTCTGTAGGGGAGAAAAATGCATGGCTTTGTTACAGGCAATTATGATGGTCTATTGCTGTGTTCTTTATTTTTAATCTATGGGCTGAAATTACACCTGGGCATCAACTTCTCACCTGTCTCACTCGCCCAATACTGTAACAACTTGCACTCTTGAGTCATCATTTACATAGAGTGCTAGGCTGGGAGATGAGCTGAGAAGGAAGTCTACCTTTTCACCTGAGAAGACTGACTTCTCACATCTTCCTTTGCATTTGTATCTATTGCATACCCCGATGCATATTTTTATGGTGGAAGGTTTTTTTTTTAACTATTAATTTCTTATGCAATCATGATTCTGGAAAGACTTATACTTTACACTGCCAGTTTTCAGTTGTAAATAAAAAATGTTGAGTCTTTTCATGACTCTGCATGGCCCCTTCTGAATCCTGGATCTACCAACGTGGCCTTCAAGCTGATCCTGACCACTTTTTTTTTTTTTTTGCTCTTTTTGCTTAAAGAGGAGAGTTTTAGAGGACCCAAATATAAACATTAGTTGCTTCTTTTTTTTTAATAGAACTTCAAATTATGTTCCAATTTTTATTAAAAATTAAAAGCAAAAAGGGGTTCTAGCCAAGCTTCATTTAGTATAGATAAAATGAAAATAATGGAATCAGAACACAAAATTTGATTAGTGCATTTTAAAAGTCTGTCTTGTTCCTGCCAAGAAGTACTTCCCCTGAAAGGGAAGGGAGCCTGGTGAGGACATGTTCCACACAGTCCATCCTAAAGGTCCCAAACAAAGCAACTTGACTTCCATAAAACACCATGACTTTTGATAGAAATAATTCCAACGTTAACTCAATGCCCCAGTGTCCTCACTTGGGGACAGCTGAATGAGTTATGCGGGTTTATATTATGACAAATGTGCCTCCTTGTCAAGTGGACATATTTATTGATGATAAAATTTTAAAGAATCTAAATATTATTTGGTAGATATAGCCCTAATTTATGTGAAAACTAGAAATAAAATGTCAAAAGTATATGTAGCATAAACATAAATTACTTTATATTGCATGTTAATTGGTATTGTGGTAATATATACATTTTAGGTATAAGAAAATAATATTAATACTTTTACTAGGAAATAAGGGATGTAAGCAAAAGACATGAACAAAAAGAATGTTAACCTAACACTGAGGGTCACAAATATTCAATTAGATTCCTGGTAAATACTCCTGGTATCAACTCCCGAAGAGCCTCAACATAGAACACAACAAATACCCAGGAGTTATAGATGAAGCTTCTGCCTAACATAGAAGAAACTGCAACAGAAAATAAAACACTGTTATGTACCAATGTTGCAGCATAGAAATAAACAAAGGTGATGGGTGTGGAGTAGGGAGGGGAAGGAGCAGGGAGAGGGAGAGAGAAGAGGGGAGAAAGGAGGGAGAGGAAGAGGGAAAGAGTAGAGAGAGAAAGAAAGGATGCTGGTGAAATGGAAGAGGAGGGAGAGAGGGGGAGGGAGAAAAGGAATGAGGAGGGGAGGGGGAAATAGAGAGGGGGAGGAAGAGAGAGGAAGGGGAGGAATGTGCTTGTTGCGACTCTACACAAATATGAACTTGCACAAAGGAGAGAGAAAAAAGTGAGCCCCTGCTATATGTTACAGCCTCTAGCCTCAGGTATTTTCTCTCCCTTGGGATATACTAATACATCTTTAAACCTGTTCCCCACCCCCACCCCCAGGTTTCAAGTACAGTGTCTTCATTTTGCTTTATGACCTGAGATTATACTTTGAACTGCATATCTAGCAGGTCTCAAATCCAAACTACAGATCCTAAGAAATATCAACAGGAATTTGTTTACGATTTTTAAAACAATAAAATTAATCACTTTCATGTGAAAAATAGAACTCTAGTAATTCATTCCAGTGGTTTTGGGTACATCAGTATAAAAAAGTTTTTAACTGGTGTGTGTGTGTGTGGTGATTTAGGCACAATATGAACTCTGTGTTATACATTTTTGTCATTTAATAGCTCAACAGTTCAAATAGTTCAAGATCCCAGAATGGCATACAGAATACTTGTAGGCATTTCCAGCTGGTGCTCACCAGGTTGTCAATGCAGCCCTGAGAGCACACAGATGAAATCACCTAATTACACTAAATGCTCACCAGTCCCTGAAATAATTAACACAGCATTAAACATAGCCATAAGTTTTCCTACCTGTAATATCTGGATTATTAAAGCTACAGTTAAAGGTTTTTTTTTAAGCTTTAGGAATAAATGAATTAGGAATATATAGAAAGAACAACAGTGTACATAAAATACAAACAGGTTTAAGACTATGACTTAAGGAATGACTTTTTAATGACAATCTTTTGATTCTTTGTATTTGATGCTCTTTTCCTATTCAATTTACACATAGTTGACTGCACATTTTATTTGCTATTTAATGTAACATTAAATACAGCATATTAATTGATATTTTCATATTTTATCTTAGAGGCAAAAGGAATATTTGATAGTTTATTCAAGTCATCCATCAGCAAAGCATGCCCCAAAATTCTGTATAAAAATTGATTAACCTGCTACACTATTAAGAGATACTTGTAACTATTCCCAGTAGGCTCATTCCCAAACATCATCTTTGCTTCCCTGCTACCTTCTACTTGCAACATTACTTCCCAACAATACAACAAAACAAAACAAAAACAAACAAACAAACAAACAAACAACAACAACAACAAAAAACTAAAACATCCCTCAAGGAAACATTTGCTGGAAGGTAGAAGCAAGGCTCTTTGAAAAAAAAAAAAGTCTTACTATTTTGTGATATTCTGGCCTTTTGTGTGCAGGGCGAGACATCTCTCCTGGTAGGTAGAGAATGTTCTTCGGTTCTTTTCTTCAGTCTGTGGCTCAGACATGCATCAGTAGTCCTCTCGCCTTTTTCTCAGCAAGTTCCTCCTGGGTTTGAGGCAGGAGTGTTCTCCACTGCCTTTGCCCTTTGCTGAATGGAAGAGGAAAAAAATGTGCACAACAGCACTGTCTGGTACCTCTGGAACCTGATGCTGATCAAGGAAGAGCCTCACTTGTAATCCAGGCCCATAAAAGCTCACAGTGTGTGTGAAGTCAAACCCAAAGCACCAAGACACTAAAAATTCTGTAGCCCCAGGGAGTTGATGAGTGGTGTTTTGTTCTGGTGCCAAGGCATTGCTTTAAAGTCATGAACAGAAACTTTCACAATCCAAGATAGATCTAAATGTTTAGCATTATTCACTCTGTATTGATTGTGCTATGAATCAGAGAGATAGGATCAGCAATCCTTAAGCACTAAATTCTTAGTTCAAACCTGACCAACAAATGAGCTTCACATTGTCCCCAGAACAGTGCCTGCCCTCATCTTGTGTCTTTACAACATCCAAATATATCTAGCATCTTGTTTTCAAATGATAATTTTTCATAACAGCACTCAGCAATTTTAAGAAGTCAGAAAGAGGGTATTTTCTTACAGAGCTGTTGCTCAGAATGGGTGCTCTGCAGTTTAATAATGTATAATGATTCTGGCAGAGAGAGGAAGCTCTGAGAGTCCTTTTGATAGTTCATGAGCTATTGGAGGCTCTCTTTATTTATGCAAAAGTACAGATATTTAAAGTTCAAGTAAGAAATCTCATCGTGACAACTGCAGGGTGCGGGATTTCAAAGCTGTTCCAGAAATAGATACAGAAAATGGAGTTGAGAAGGCAGTAGTCAGCTACTTACATCTTGAGAAAATTAGTCCTATTGGTTCTGGCACACTCTTCCTACAAAGTCGGAGCACTTTGAAGAAGAATGTGGTTCATTTGAAGGATCATAGGATGGTTGACCAGGCTCCAATTCAGTTGCAGGTCTCCTATTACTGGCTGTGTGGCCATGGGCCAGCTACTTTATTGCTCTATGGCTCAGTTTCCACATCTGTGAAATAGTCATAGTAATACCTACCTCACAGAATAATTTGAGTATCAAAGAGATGATATGCACCATAAAACACATTATAATGCACTATATAAAAACTAATTACTATAGGTTGTTCTTACAGGTGGTTATGGGATGGAATTCTACACCAAGTGAAGTATTTCCATATACTTGTTTATGTTCTATGAATCTATGGTTTCAGGGAAATCAGTTCTAATGGAGTTGGAAATTTGACAGCTTTTTTTAGGGGTAGACTATAACTTATGTTTACAACTTCACAGCTTACAGTATGGTTTTTGCTATCTGTATCATTTTAATTCAACTACAATCATTGAAGTAGTCAGTATGATAATCATTAACATTTTATAGGATAGGAATATAGAAATAAAAAGACTAATAAGGCTTTTTAAAAATTGTATCTGGATAGTAGGGATCAGAACTAAGTTTGTAGATTCCAAGCAACTCCCTTTTAAAAATCTATTGTATACATTCTAATTTAGTTGGTAAAAAAAAAAAAAAATTAGAAGTTGGGGCTGGAGGGATGGCTCAGAGTTTAAGAGCACTGGTTGCTCTTCCAGAAGTCCTGAGTTCAGTTCCCAGCAACCACACAGTGTCTCCCAACCATCTATAATGAGATCTGGTGCCCTTTTCAGGTATGCAGGTGTACATGCAGACAACACATTGTAAACATAATAAATAATAAAAAAAATCTTTAAAAAATTACAAGTAGATTCTAAACAACTATGAATGTGCAGTTGACAGAATGTTGTCAACTTGGGGCCATGTGGCTTCAAGGTAAGAGACCCAGAGGAAAACGGAAAAGGTCTATGTGCTTGTAGAAAAGGGAAGGTGGTGCTGTGAGCAACAATACAAGAGCAAGGCTGCGTATGATGTGTCTTATCATGGCCAGTACAAAGCTTTAAGGTGTGATGGGTACCAGCAGAAGAAGACAGCTCTCTGTGAGTTAGAGGCCAGCCTGGTCTACGGAGTGAGTTCCAGGACAGCCAACGTTACACAAAGAAACCCTATCTCAACAAACAAACAAAGGAAAGAAAGAAAGGAACTGTCTCAGACTGACAAGGCTGTTTGCTAATGTTAACAGCCCTCCAGAAGGGACCCAGAACCTGAGGAATGTGCTGAGTGTGTGATGGGTACCCTGCACACATCATAGCCAAATACAGCTGTAGTCAATGTCTCTTGGACCCTAGTTTGCTATTTTTCAGACTGTGAAACTCAGCCTTCTTCAACACTTTTTAACATCTGCATGCACCTTGCATTTTCCAAGCCCCTTCTTTGTATGTAAAAACACCCCTTTCTCAAACAGAGAAAAACATAGTTTGGTGCTTCAGAAGGTACTAGAACAGGGAGGAGAACTGTGTCAAAATAATGCTAAAGCATTTTGTTTCTAATTTAAGTAAAAATCTTTAAGGGGTGTAGAAAAGAAATTGGAACTGGGATTGAGAGAAAGAAGTATCCTTTGATCTCAGATTTACCTGGATGTCAGCCACCACAAGTAAATACTCTCTTAGAGGACTCCTCTGCCCAGGTCCTTTGGGAGGCGGCCCTGCAATTGAGTAAAGACCTGAGGAGATCCTAACAGAAGACGACAGCGACTCCAAGCTACCAGAGTACCTGTACAGCGGCTTGATTTTAGTCTTTACTGGGGTCCAGAGAGATGGCTCAGATCCTCCTAAAAAGGCAGGCGTAGCCACATGTGCTGGTTATAACTCCAGCATTGGAGGCTGCGGCAGGCGGACTCTGAGAGCTCACTGGTCAGCCTGCCTAGTGGAACCAGTGAACTTCTGGTTCAGTCCTGTTAGGCCACAGAGGAGAGCTTTGCAGCCAGTCCTGAAGATACCTGATAAAACAGGATCAGATGAATGGGGAGGAGGTCCCCCCTATAAGTGGACTTGGCAAGGGGCACAGTGGAGATGAGGGAGGGAGGGAGGGACTGGGAGGGAATGAGGGATCGGGACACGGCTGGGATACAGAGTTAATAAAATGTAACTGATAAGAAAAAAGTAAAATTCAAAAAAAAAATAAAATAAAGAAAGACCCTCTCATAAACTAAAGTGAGAGGTGAGAGGGGTGACACCAATGCCTTTCCCCAGCCTCCGAATGTAGATGCAGACAATCATGCACAGGTACATGTGTGTGCACACTCACACACACACAAAACAGACACTCCTATCCATTTTAAGCTGATCTCTGCGTTTACTTTAACCTGGTTTCCTTATATAAAATTAACCCGTTCTTCCGCTTTCCACCCCCTAAAGATAGCTATAATGCTCAGATCTGATTTTCACAGTCATAGGCATGGTTGTGTTCAATGAGAGAGAGAGAGAGAGAGAGAGAGAGAGAGAGAGAGAGAGAGAGATTGTGAAACCGGTCCCTCTGAGTAGTTAACGTCCATGTGGGGACTACATGATGGAGAGACAACGGTAAACTAACTTGGGATTCATTTTTATCAAAGCAAACAATTAAAAACCCAGAAATTAAGAAACTTACAGGAAAATATATGGGACTGGAATATATTACAATAAGTGAGAACACAGGTTCAGAAGGATAAGCATGTTTCTTCTATGTAGGTTTTAGCTTTGAATTTTGATACATGTGTATTTATGAGAGAAGGGGGGTGTGTAGTCACCAGAAGCATCTAGGAGAGGCATATACAGGATAATAGAATACATGTGATATTAAAGTAAAAGGGAGGACATGGGGTAGGAGATTAAGTATAGGTGGGGGGAGGGGCAAAGGAAGAGTTAAGCCAAATCCAACGCCCTTGGAAATGGCAAAAAGGAACCTGCAAAGCACATACTTACAGATTTGCATCAACGAAGCCCTTACTCCAATGGGGTTCAACCAGTGCTCTACTGAGTTCTATGCCGCTCTCAGGAGGAATACTCTGCAATTTTCTACCCCATTTCCTCATATACCAGATACTATAATGAGACATTTTAAGATACGAGATAGTAATAACAAAGAAGGATGTGGAATGTGCTACCAAGCTTTGCTATATATGCTTCAGGCTTTGTTTTAAGCATTAAAGCAGGTCTGAGCCAGCTAAAATATCCAGAACTCTCTTAAACCCTATCTTCCTGCCCTACTTAGTGGTTATCACACTGTGGACCTTGGTATTTATCATTCCTATCATGTTTTAAGGCTCCACATATGCTCCTATCCATACAGAATATTTAATAGTACTTCTAACTTTACTTTATAGTGGTGTCATACAGCATGGACCTCATGGTCTCAGACTTTTCCCTCAAGGTTGTTTGTTGAGATTTATCCAGAGATGCCTGTCTCTGAAGATTATTTATACAGATCGACATCATGTCTGTAAAACTTTCTGTAAAGAACCAGATAGTAAATAAAATTAGGTTTTTGCAGCCATACAGATTTTGTCATAATAATTTCATCCTTCTGTTAGCATCAGACAAAACAAGCAGTGGCCAATTTGGCTCCCATACCATATGTTCCTAACTCTGCCTCTGTAGTACACTCGAGTCATGGTTTCTGAATCAGTTTCCTTGTGATTGGATATTGGTGCTGAGATGAGCCTCTTGGTGAGCCTTTGCAACTTCAATACATTTCAGAGGGAAATTATTTGTGGGACTTATAAAATATATATCTTCTACTTTTAGACCATAGAATGCCATGCATCTTTAATAATCTGACTTAGGCAAAACATGTTAAATTTATCTTTTTTATATTTTATCTGTTTTTGTTCATTTGATCACAAGTTAGTGTTACATTAAAAATCTCCCTGTGAAAAAATTCTTCCTTGTTATTTGGCTAGATATGTAAAATATTTACATATTTTAAAGTTATGCAACCATGGACAGACAAATTGGCACTATGATTATCTTCAAAATGCATCATTTTTATTATGATGGAATGTGCACCTAGCCCTT